CCCAAATAATGAACACTTGATTGCGTGCGCAAAGCCAAAATTTGCGCAAAACATCCCCTCACATGCATCATCTTCTTTTTGTCCGGGCCATACAGAAAAAAAGGTGTCGAGAGTGTTGCCGGAAAGTCCTCTAACCCAATTGGAATGGAAATGTATGGTAATGTGACAGAGTGGTGACAAATTCAATTACTGCTTGGGAATGCGCACAGTTGTGTGGTTTTAAAATGTACCCAATTTCAATTCATTTGCATTTTAAATTTGCAAAAAGAAAAAAAAGTCAGCAACCCACAATACACACACACACATGTGTTACCAGCTCGGTTGCATACAATAGTCCTAGTTAAACATTGCGAGTAAATATTGAGATGTAAAACTGTTGATTTCGACTCAAAATCGAATTTTCAACTCGTATAATCGAATAGAGTACGCGCCTTTTTATTATTTACTCGTATTTTTGGTTTGTTGGTTGGAGATTTTTGCATGCGGTGGCACAGCGCACAAAAAGACGATCGCCGCCAGCGCAGTGCGCTTTTTTTTCGGGGGCGCTTTTTAATAAAGCCCTTACCGGTCGCCGGCAACACCGGAACAAGCATTGTTTACGTTGAAAGCACGGATCTCTCGAAACCCGTTTCGGATTATGAAACTTCATGTGTTTACCAGTACCGGACTAGTTACAATAATAAAAAGTACTTAAAATCATAAAAAACTACATTTTAAAACACTTAATGATTAAAATTATTATAAATTTTAATAAAAACATTAATAAATAGTAAAAAGAATAAAAATGTAAGTAAAAATCATTTTTATTTTAGTGCGACCCTTCAAACATGGTTTGAAACCCTTGGAAATTCGCTTTGGTCGCACGGGGCGACGGCTGGCAACATTCATTACGTGCGCGCACACGTCGGGATGCTGGGGACGTCAGGACGCGCATTGTTATCTCATAACTAATAAAATATTCGCTGTTGTTTTGAACCCACGCCTGTACGCATGCATGTGTGCATGTTTAACCTCACTTCTGCGCTCCCCGCGCACAACTCGTGGTTATGTGTGTGTGTATCGATGTAAAAGTTAGTTAGGAGCGGATTCCAGGCTCGCTTCGGTTTTGCTACACAGCCCTTTATATAAAACACTTTCACCCTTAGGCCATACGTCAAAATCAATAGGGGGTTGCACCCCAAAGCGCTCGCG